GCCCGCGGCCACGTGACTCGGGGCGCCCGCGCTTCCGCCCCGAGCTGTGGGCCGGCCGGCCTCCACCCTGCGCAGGCGCGTTGGGCTCTGGGTGCCCAGCCCGGAGCTGGCCTGGCCGCGCCGGGCGGGGTTGGGACCCTTCCTGATGTCGGCGTTTCGGGTGTGACAGTTGACTCCCCCTGCTGGACAGCTCCCTTAGGCCGGCGCGGGTACCGCGCGGACACTGTCGGCCAGCTTTACGGACGAGACAGGTGCTGAGCAAACTGAGTCCCCGCCAGGGAGGGGAAAGCATTACTTCCTGAAAGCATAAACATTTTATTTAAAAAATCCGAACATACGGAAGAGTAGACAGTATGGTGAACCCCCAGATACTCATCATGGTTAGTAAACTGTTCAGATTTTCTTCTTTTTGAATCAGTGTTTGGCTTTTTAATGTTCTAGAAGAGTATCCATTTTAAATGTTCTAATGTGCTTGGTTCGAGTTGTATATAGTATGCTACCATATTTTAAATTTATTTCCTCTGTTGTTATATCACTTTACTTATTCTAAACATTGTGCCTTGGGTTTCTTTGTCCCTTGATTAGCCTTGCCAGTAATTTGTCTATTTTATTGGCCTTTTCAAAGATTACTTCTACTGATTTTTGTTTCAAGTCATTGCTGTTTTCACGCTTTTTTTTTAATTTCTTGACTAGCATGTTCAGTTCAGTTATTTTTATTTAAAAATAAAAGGATTTAGGGTGTGAGTTAAGGCCTGAGAATAGCTCTGCCTGCAGTCCTCAGGACAATGTATTATTCTCATTTTCCTTAATTCCTGAGTAGTCTGATTGACAGTCTTAATTTCCTCTTCGATGTAAGAACTGTGCCAGCGTTCACTGACACACCTGCTTTGTGCCCTGCGCTGTACTTGGCACTTGGGAGGTAACGGCAAGTGAAACCAGACCAGACCCTCTCACAGAAGTTAGTGAGGGAAGACTGGTACTAAAGAATTATAAACCGTGACAAACGAATGTTCTGGTGACAAAATGGGGTCTTACGAACGTACCATAAAAGAACTTGATCTAAACGGCGCGGGGGGGGGGGGGCGGGTAGTCAAGAGCTTTCCCAAGGAAATGACTCCTGAACTACGATTTGAGAACAAGGAGCAGTTAATCAGGCAGGGTCTGGGTCCAGCTCTCCTACCGTGGTCCTCCTGATGCGTGTTATCCCCTAGCCCGCCACCAGACTCCAGCAGCTCCCGCTGTCCTGTGCCTTTTCCGTGTGTATTTATATTGCCATGCTCCCTTCTCGTTTGGATCGGGACCCTGCCTGAGCAATGCTTTACAACGTCTACCCTCCCCTGCTCCCCAGTTAGGAGCCTAGACACCCCGTCTTCATTTAGCCTACTCAATTCATGTCTCCTTGTGATTATAGATTTGGACTGATAATCTTAGCATGGATGGTAAATTATGTTTTTATCACTCTATTTCTGTTACAATATTTGAAAATAGTTAAAATATGAACTCTGAAATTTGGGTTAAAAGATAAAAATATCTAGTGGATTCCAGCTGCCAGTTGGGTTAGGGTCATTCCAGGCCTTCATGAGTCTGACCTCGTCTTTGACACCCATCCCGTTTCCAGTGTTCCAGAACTGGTCCGTCTCCAGGCTGACTCAGTCGGTTCAGTGACTTTCTCTACCTCCTTCACCAGAGCACAGGAGCCCTAACCCTTACTCTCCTGCAATGTGATGATTGTCCTTATTCTTATTTACAGATGTTGAAAATAGAGGTTCATGGCTGTTATCTTGTGGCTAGAATTGGATGAGACTAACACTCAAATCCAAATTTCTCTGGCTCCACAGCCCACTTTCACTCCTTTTTATTATGGAAAATTTCAAACTTGTGCAAAGTTAAAATAGTGTGGTGAGCAACTGCCATTCTTGTTTCATGTCTGCCCACTCCCCACCCGTCCATTTGATTTTTAAAACGTAACTTGACATTCTTTCAAATGTGCAAATCTTAAACTGTGCAGTTTTTGACAAATGGATGCACTTGTGTAACCCACACCCCTGTAAAGATCTAGAATATTTTTCTTTTTTTTTTTGTGAGGAAGATCAGCCCTGGGCTAACATCTGCCAATCCTCCTCTTTTTGCTGAAGAAGACTGGCCCTGGGCTAGCATCTGTGCCCATCTTCCTCCACTTTATATAGGACGCCACCACAGCATGGCCTGGCAAGTGGTGCATCGGTGCGCGCCGGGGATCCGAACCTGGGCTGCCAGCAGTGGAGCACGCGCACTTGATCACTATGCCACGGAGCCGGCCCCTGGATATAGAATATTTCTATCACCCCACAAAGTTCCCTAGAGACTCCCTCTACCCCACCCCCACCCCCAAGGAAGCCCCTGTTCTAATTTTTCTTCACCATAGGATAGTTTTGACTGTTCTAGAACTTCATGTAAATGGATCATACAGTATATGCTCTTCTTGTGTCTAGGTTCTTTTGTTGAGTAGATCAGTTCTTTCCTTTTAAAATTGCTGAGTAGTATTGTTTTGTATGAACATACCACAGTTTGTTTAGCCATTCTCCTACTGATGGGCATTTGGGTCATTTCTAGTTTGGGGCTATTATAAATAATGCTATGAATACTTCTGTACAGTGTTTCTGTGGCATTTATTTTCATTTCTCTTGGGGACATATGTAGGAGTGAAATTTCTGGGTTATAGGGTAGGTGATTCTAAGAAATAGTCAAAACTTCCCCAGAGATCGTTCCATTTTACGTTCCCCCTGGCAGTGTATCACTCACGCTTGCTCAGCATCCTTGCAAACATTTGGTGTTGTCAGCATTTTTATTTTCACCCTCCTGATGGATGTGTAGTGATAGTTCGTGGTTTTAATTTGCATTCACATTGATTTGAGCACTTTTTCTTGGGCTCACTGGTTATGTATATGTCTTCCTTTATAAATCACCTGTTCTAGTATTTTGTCCACTTTTTTTGCAAATATTTTCTTCCAGTCTGTGGCTTGCTTATTTATTTTCTTAATGGTGTCTTTGTGAGCACAGTTTTATATTTTGAAGTCTAGTCAGTTTTTTCCTTTATGGTTATTGCTTTCTTCTCTTGTATGGGAAATCTTTGCTTACCCTCAGGTCAGAAAGATATTCTATCTTTTTCTTAAAAGCTTTACAGTGGTAGCTTTTATATTCAGGTTTACAATCTGTCTCTAATTTTTGTATATGGTATAAAGTAGGTGTCAGGATTCACTTAGTTTCCATGTGGACAGTCAGTTGTTCCATCACGATTTATTGAACTCCACCCAGATCTTTTATCTTGAAAGTTTTAAATCGACAGAAAAGTTGAATGACTAGTATAATAAACACTGCTGTGCCCTTCACATCGATCCATTAGTTAACATTTTGCCCTATTCGCTTTATCTCTGTTGACTTTTATGTTAAAGCTAAACCATTTCCGAGTGCAGACTTCACGACCTTTAGTCTCTAGATATTTCAGCGTGCGTCTCCTAAGACTAAGGACACTCTCCTTCCTAGCCACAGTACCACTGTCACACCTAAGAAAATCAATATTAATTCAGTCTACCAACTAACAGACAATCTGTTTTCTTGCTGGAATTTTGCTAGGAATTGTGCTCAACTTGTAACAATTTGGGGAGAACTGACATCTTGACTACATGAGTCTTCCAGTTAATGAACATGGTGTGTCTCTCCATTTATTTTGCTCTTCTGTGGTTTCTTTCATCAGTATTTTGTTGTTTTCAGCATACAAATCCCATACATGTTTTGTTCGAGTTATCCCTCCATATCAGTTCATACTGCTCTCCCTCATTTTTTAAATGGACGCCTGGTGAGGTGTAAGAATTTAAGAGGCTTTGCTGAGTGAACATTTCACCTCTGGATCACTTTGGCTGGCATAAATCGAAACTTGAGGCAGAACCCGTTGCCTCTACACCTCCTCCCTGCTGACGCCAGGAGGCCAGAGTTAGGACTGACTGCTGCCCCAGGTGCAGGACCCAGCACCCACCCCTGATTTAAGCCAGAAGGCCCCAAACCTAGCTGATTAGAAGCAGCCATGGCATTTATATTTAACAATGCAAATCGTGACGCCATCCCAGCCTCCTGAGCCAGACATCTCCAGGGGGAGCATCTATAAATAGGTACTAAACAAACTCCCCAGGTGATTCAGATCATCGGCCAGCCGTGGGAGTTACTAGTCTAGACCATGTTTTCTGTCCCAGTCTCGCTCTCTCCCATTTGTGAGCCCTGCGCTCTCGTCTGTTTGGCACACTTGCTGATGCACAGACGTGCACTCACCAGTTCTAGGCCTTTCTCGTGCCGATTCCTTAATCTGCAGTGCCTTCACCTTCCTGTGCTTTATTCTCTTTGCTAATTCAGTGCTTTACTCAGACCCCAGCCCAAATCCTACTTCCTTGGAGACCCTTCAGCTGGAAATAGTTTCTTCCTGTTCCGATGACCTGAATTTCCCCTGCTAGGAGGGCTGGAGGGCTGGATTCGACCTCTCTCACTCTGTACCCCTGTCTCCAGTGCTCACTGTGTGCCAGGTGCTACGCTCAGTCCTTCCACGCTTCAGCTTATTTTAGAGCAGGTCTGCTGCATGAGAGTTAATACACTAGAAATGTCTTCAAAGTAAAGAAAATAATATTCTTGCTATGTTCATCTTCTTCACTGTAATATTTACAAAATACTAAATTTTATGATAAATGACAAATTACATACCTGGCTTAAAAATGAACCTACTTTCCATCCTCTTTATAATTTTAAGATACAGAGTACTTATGATCACAGGAAAAAAGTGGGATAATAGGAAATTTAATTTCTTATTACATAATAGATAATCCTGGA